GAGCGGCGTCTTCAGGGTGAACATTGTGTTCAGGATTTGAAGGCGGCCCTGTCAGCAAAGCAGAGGGAAGCAATGGCTTCCTGCAAGCAACTGCAAGGCCTAGTGGAAGCCTCCTTGCAAAATGGTAGCCTAAAGCAGCTGGAAGAACGAGTGGGGAGGTAAGGAAGTGCCASCGAGAAGCAAGGCTTTGCTGTGTGGGGTGGTGTAAAAGCAAGAGGAAGAGGTGGCKGCATCGCAGCAAGCCCATTGCGAATGGGGAGGGCCCTTCTTTCACAGTGCTGTCTCCCTGGGTTTCCTTTGAAGGCTTGAGCTTGAAAACGTGAGGCTGGAAGGCAGAACCCACCAACAAAGTGCCAGAATCGAAGAGCTTCAGAAAGAGCTGCACAGCTCGGCCACTGTAAGCTGCTCCTAATATTTCTTCCTCVTGTAAGAAGCTCCTGGGCCTAGTTCTGTGTATTTAKGAGGGGACATTCTGAGAAGAGATTTTCCTGGGGAGCCTTGGGGAACAGCATTTCCTGCAGTCTRCTTTGGTGCCAAGCAAAGRCASAACTGACATGCTCCGTCTGTGACAAGGGAGACTTGCATTGCCAGACTCCTGRCACYTTCCCTRGTCACTGCCTGTGGATTCCYTGRCTCARAGGTGTAAATCCGTGAAGTAACTGAAAAAACTGCAAAGATGCCAAGGTGCAGGTCTCCTCTAATGGAGGAGAACCTTACTTCTATTTTCAGGCAAAGTAAGTATCTTCCTGGGAGCAGATAAAATTTTCCGCCTGCAAATGAACTGTGGGAGGTGCTGCCGTAAGCACCAGCTTTGGAACCCCATCCTTTGCACCAGGCATCCTTTATTTAATAGGATATGTACATACTGTAAATAAATGAATTCACCTGAGAAATTGCTTTCTGTGTAATTTCCACCACATTCTCTACAATCTTTCCTGCGATCTACAAATGACTGGCAGTGAGCAAGCAGGCAAAAATAATTGACCTACTTGCCCTTCCTTCTGATCAGCTGTGACCACCCTTTCTTCTGGCTAGGAGGCACATGGTTCTGTAACTGCTTTTTTACTGTTTCCCTGTAGTCACTGTATGGGAAGCAATAAGAGTTAATGATGCAGAAAGGGCTTATAATTAACTATATAATTAACTATCTGAGATCTTCAGAAAACTTGCCAAAGGGTCACTTATACACTCAGGTATTTGAATGAGGGGATTCTTTTGCAATGCTCACATGAAGCACCTAGGACAAATGCAGGTTTGTCCTTCCAGTTACCCAGTTGCCTAGCTTTATAGATGTTCATCAGTGATATGTAATACAGCTTTTAATCCTAGAAGATGTCTGCYTGTAAGCACCTTTTAATATTATTTATTAATGCAGCCGCTGAACTGGTTCCAAACCTGTGTTACAAATTCTCCCGAGATGCCATAATTTTTTTCTGCAAAGGGAAGGGAAGAGAAAGGAAGGGAAGAGAAGGAAATAGATATATTTGTTCCAAGCCTTCTGAAGATTCTGAGCAATGAATTGTGAAATATGTTGGAAATATTTTATCATAATTGAGTGTTTTAATGTTCATGATTTTCATTGACAGATATATTTTCTGCCCTAGTCTGATTTATTGTATCCCCATTTTTCCTCATAATTATGAAATGAATGAGAAAGATAGCACCTTTCCTCCACTACTGACTTTGAATTTGTTGTAACTTTCCAACCCCCAATTTAAGGCAAAGAAAAGGCACAGAGGTTCAGAAGTCATGCAGCAAGCTCTGGAGCCAGTAGGGCTGTGTTGTGGGGATGACACTTACGTGATGCAATTCATGAAAAACTGTGGTGGGAAATGGGTCCTCACTGGACTGTGGAGGGTGCTGCTTTTGGAAGCAGAAGAGGTGACTATGGAAAATAGGAGTTTTACTTAGCATTAGGTGATGGAGAAAACAGTTTTCCTGCAGGGGCCAGGTACCAGTGCCACCTTTTGCAGGTGCAATCTCCTCTTTAAGGAGACTGTCTTAGAGAGATGAGGAGGAATGCACACTTGGAGGATTTGATCCCAGGTTGCGTGTCAGTCAGGAAGAGGACAGTGGGACATAATTCCTAAACTACCTCAGTGAAAACCGAGTAAGTAACTAACATGTCCAAATCTGCATGGGAAACAGAGCAAATCCACTAGTTACCCCTGTTGGAACTTGGCTATCTTGAAAGATGTCTCTTTTACTCCAGTTACAATCATTCTTGTCTCCAACTCATTGAGTATCTGAGCTTGAGTTCTGCCTCTACATGATTGTTCAGTGTTTCAGGTGGCTAGGATTTTATTTTAAAAGTGACAAAACTTGATGTATTATTATAGGTTGTTTTTCCCTGAACATCTCTGCCCTAAATGGAAAAACAAGCTTACTTGTCTACCTTTTTTACAATTAAGTGCACAACTGAGCCAAATAACTCATGTTTTACAAATTCTATTTGTTGGATTCTTTTTCACATTTTTCTCTGAAGTACTCCCATTTCTAATTTTTCCTGCTTTCTTTCTTCATACCCATTTTAGCCTCCTCTCTATACATGAACAATTACTGCAGAGCCTTTGACAGACTTGTCATAGCTAATTATTCAGTACTAGACAGGTGTGCAGTGACTTGTGCAATATAATGCATCACAAAGAAGCCACTGAACTTATTCTCTACAGTCCCCTAKATACTGTACCTCTGCAGAGAAAGGAGAAGTGAACAGCCAAGTGAAAACCCAGGAAATATTCAGATTTATTTAAGCTGATACAAGATAATGGAAATATAGTGGCACTTTAGCATAAATACTGGTTTTCCCACAGCTCACCAGAACTTCAGAAAATAAGCAAATGACAATATAAAATAAAATTTTCCAGTCCTGCTTTCATAGATCATTATTTGCCTTTTTTTTTTTTTTTTTTTGAATACATGGTTAAACTCAGAGACATCCTTTTGAGCTCAAGCCTGAGGGTAGGAAAGTCAAAATGTTAGGTTTCTCTGAAGAGGTTATTCTTTCTTTTTACACAGCTAAGTATCCATAATATCTTTCCTGGTGAACAAACATAAGCAGCCTCATGAAGAATCTGACAGTAGGTATCAGAAGCCCAGGGATAACACTGGGATTCACTGCTGGTCCATACTATGCTGCCTGGTGTAGCTACATGTGGAAAGGAGCTTTTTGGTGAGAAAGGCATGTTATTTGTGATCAGGAAAAAAAAAAATACACTCCTCCCCTGAAAAAACAAGCTTCTTTCTCTCAGCCTCGTCCCCTCCTTGAGACAGGGAAAAAGATATATTCTGGATTTGAGTTAGATTTAATTATCACAACAGTGATTTTTTTTGTTCTTTTATTTTGTTTTCTTCATAGTCAAATGAGAGGGGATTTGTTTTTCTAAGGGTTTTGCAAACATAATCCCTTTGAAAATAATGCTTGTATTCCATGTATTTCCTTATTCTATTCAAGCAAAATCCAYTTGATCACTTTAAAAGGAAGAACTCATCCCAACAGGAATGCTTACATGCACCGAGTGCACCGACACCTTTCACTCTGAAGGCAACAAGCAGCAGTTGCCTTCACAAAAGCACAAATCGGGCAAATGCTTACTGAACAAACACCCATCAACAGAGACCTCTGCAGTTGGTGCAGTATTTGGGCAGTAGCCTCTGTAAAGCTTTCATTAGGGGAATGCAACCAGAGAGATGTGCTTAGTGGGGAGCGCAGTTGGAACTCAGTGGGGAAACAGTTCTGTGGAGCCACGTCAAGTGAGGCAGATTGGAGAGTTTGTCCTCACTGCATACTGATGAATAAGGTGAGGATGCCACTAAACAAGTACACTGGATTATGGGAGCGAATCTAGCTGTGGCAACATAATCTGATTATGCTAAGAAAACTCCGCTGCCATGTGCTGTAGAACTACCTTATTGCTTTATCTCCAGTGCAATATTACTTTGAGCTATGATTTGAATATTGACTGTGACCTCACTGGCTTCCATACGGTGTCTGTGTATCTTGAGGAGCAATACCTGCCTTGCAGCAAATAAAAATGTGTGAGCAGAAAAAAAAATGGTTATTAAAGGTAAATAAGCATTGTAATAAAATACAGTAAGTATTTTATAATACTCTTCAGTCACTTACTCGGTAGTATTTGGCCTTTTCAGCAGTCTGAGAGACTGTTCCTGAGCATTGGCCCAGTAAAATAGATAACAAGATGGGAAAAAAAAAAAAAAAAAACAGAAAGCTCTGAGGTCATTTTTCAGGCTGTCTCTGAAACACTCCAAGACATCAGGGCATGTGTAAACCACTCCAAGAATATCTATACTTGGTGTTTTGACTGATCTTCTGTATCACATCTTCCCCAAAACACTTAGAATTTACCCAGTACTAAAGCTAAACTAAAAAGCTGGCATTTTAAAATGAACCTTTTAAAACAAAGAATTTTTTTTACAGTTTTTCAGTCAGTATCATATGCATTTCTAAAGCAAATATGCTTTTGAAGTTAAACAGTAAAATAAATCCAGAAGAGTTTTAGTGAGTTTCTCAAAGCTGAAAAATAAAAAGATAGAAAAAAAAATCCTCTGAGAGAAGATGCCCTTTACAGCAGAAGTAACCAAAGTGCATATATCTTCAGAAGTAACCAAACTGCATATATCTTCAGCTAGTCACCATTTTCCTCTACTGCTAGAGAGGCGTTTTCTACTACTAAAAAATAATGAAGATCTGGCATCCAAGAGAACTCCGAACTACTGCTACTACGAGAGAAGCATGTTGTGGATGTCAGACAGCATCTCAGGGCAGCCAACCATTATGTTGCTGCCGCTAGATGGCAAAAAGAGCACGCAGTAAAAAAAAAAGCAATGTGTTTCTGACAGAACAGCAGTTCTCTTTACTAGTAAGATTTCATTTCCTCCTGGAGCCCCAAGCAAGGAAGGCAAGGAGGGAGAGCAGACATCCTGCCTGAGGATTCACTGCTTCTCCAAGAAAGCTGGAMTGGATCCCCGCTCTGCATAATTAACCATCTCCTTCTTATTGGTTCAGGTTTTTCTTGGCCAAGAACTTGGCTATGGCAATCTATAGCAAACCCTGAACATGTCTAAGGGAAGCAATCTTTGCTATAAATTTAACAGCAAAAATATATAAATAAACATCATCTGCAGCTGGAGAACCTCCAAAGGGTGTGAGGAAACTTAGCACAGAGAGCTCAACAG